GGGGACCAGAAGTCACACAGAACGGTGACAGATGTTCTCCCCTCCAGCTTTGTCAGGGTCAGAGGTGGGGGCTGGGGGCTGGCACTCGGAGTGCAGCGGCCAGATCACGCCAGACTCGGACCCCGAGGCTGTCCGTCTGCGGGGAGGCGGAGGGCAAGGACTCCAGGCCTCTCCAGGCCAGGCCAGGCGAGGACAGGCGCAGCCGGTGTGGACGACGCGCCCTCCACGTGGCTGAGGGGAGGGGAGCTCGCTCCCACATGAGCACGAGGGTGGCCGCGTGGGAAGCCCAGCGCCCGGGTGAGGGCCCTGCTGCCTAACGCCTTTTGTTAACTTCCTATTATTAAATGCTTCTATGCGTCCCGTTACAGAAATGATCAAGTATCAGTACTGATAGTCAGCAGTGGAAAACTGCCAGGGAAAGGGACCGAAGGGTGGCCCGGCTGATTGTCTCCGTTGCCCGAGGAGCAGCGACTGATGTGACAAATACTGGCTCGTGGCCGGGGGCGGGGGCTGTGTATTCAGGCTCCGCAGGCGACAAGAGTGACAAGAGGCGCCGCCCCCCACGGTCAGATGCCAGAATCCACCCCCGCGAGAGGCCGGCTGCCGGGGGGGCCCCACTGCCTGCCGCTTGGAGTCACTCCGGGGATGTCTGGGGTGGACAGGGACAGGCCAACTCCTCTGTCACAAGGGCGGCCAGAGTCCATTTGGCTTTTTCTGTAAGAAGGCTCGAGTAGCCCTTAGTTGTCTGTAACTTCATTGGAAACAATTTTGTTAGATTGTATTGTGGCAGCTGGCACAGCAGCGTGCACTGAAAAAAAAATTATCCAAATTGGCGGATTTTTGTGTAGCCATTGTAATGTTGAAGATGGAAGAAAATACGCAACATTTTCAGCATATTATACTTTATTATTTCAAGAAAGGTAAAAACGTAACGGAAACGCAAGAAAAAGATTTGTGCAGGGTATGGAGAAGGTGCTGTGACTGAGCGAACGTGGCAAAAGTGGTTTGCGGAGGTTCGTGCTGGAGATTTTGCTGGATGCTGCTCCAGCAAAGCATAGTGATCAAAACCGAGACATTAACTGAGAATAATCAACGTTCTACCACCCGGGAGAGAGCTGACATCCTCAAAATAGCCAAATCAATAAAGCGATTGGTGAAAAGGAAAAAATAGGTCATTTACTTTACAGAAAAAACTAAACGGACGTTTTGGCCACCCCGATAATTGTAACAACTGGAGAGCACCGTACCTCCTTGATTTTCTGTGATAACAGAGACCCGGGCCACCCATGGTGCCACAGTGTGGACAAGCGTCCAGATCGCCTGCTGCCAGGTTGCACCGCCGGCCTTTAATGTGAGGTGGCGTTGGCGGCTGGTCGTGCGCTCCTTGCGGACCCTGGGCAGCCCCGCGCTCTCCGGGCGCCTTTGCGCAGGTCAGCACAGAGGGTGACCTGGGGGCGGCTGCTGAGGGTCGAGCATCGCTCCCCGGGGTAGACAACCACGCGTTTGGCCACAGGAACAGTGTGACTGTTCTGTGTTACGATGGGCGCCCACGGCTGTGCCCATGTCACGGGCTGGGGGGTCCCGGGCTCACCTGGAGGCCGAAGCCTTCGTCCCCGCGCCTTCTGCCCCGTGGAAGGGCACCGCGCTGCCCGGGGCGCTGCGGCTTCGTGACTCGGACACCGAGACAACGAATCCAGTTCCCTGGCGGAACAGAAGCTCCCCCGGCACCGTTTTGCTACACAGGACCACCCACCGAGCGGGGCCGGGGCGGGGGAGCCCCTGGGCGGAGGGAGCAAGCCAACAGGCCCTTCCAAGCACGGGCCGGGCTGCCTGAGCCCGCTGAGGGCCCTTGATCTGAGCGGGGCCCCGCGGGCGGCCGGGCTTCGTACACGTGTTGCTTAGACCTTCCCAGCGGCCACTATGCCGCCTTCCGGAAACAGCCCCTCAGTGTTCCTCTACCTGACCTCCCGCCCCCGTGAGCGCAGGCTGGTGCCACCCAGGGCTTGACCCTGTGACACAGGATGGGCCAAGCCGTCCCTTCGAGGAGTTTGGATACTGAGCAGAGTGGGATCAAAACTGGGAACAGCTGATTTATCACCCCCACGGCACCGCGGAAAGGCTTTCCCAGGACCCTGAGGCCTGGTCTCTGAGGCGGGGCCTGGCTTGTGTCCTCGCGTGGGGCTTGGTGGCTCAGCGTGCAGTGGACCCGTGTCATCCCTGGCGTTGGCAGGGGTCAGCCAGGGCTGCTTCTGTGGCGGGCCACCAGGGGACCCGACCTGAAAGGACCGCAGAAGCCGCCGGCGGACACGTGTGGGCGCAGGGACCCCGATGGCACCTTCTCACGCGCCTGCAGCCCCGGCGGACTCGGCTCATCCAGGGCCCGAGCTTCCAGACGTGGTGCTGAGAGGCTCCGGGGCTTCCCAAGGCTGCAGCCGGAAGCCAGGCCGGCTCACGCTTCTCGTCGCCTCGCGGTGCGGGGCGCGGGGGGCGGGGGGGCGCCTTCCCTGGCTGGCGCACCCAGCCGGGCCGCGGAGGCAGAACGCTACTTCAAAGACCCCTTCAGTCGATTCATCAACGATCATTTATTGCAAGGCACTGTGCTAGGCACGGTGGAGTGTACATGGCAGGCGGACAGACGTCCCTGCCCCGAGGAGCTTACAGTCTAGGGGGATACTCAGCAGACGCACGAGGACAGCGGAGTCACAGTACAGGAGCTGAGAATGCAAGGTCACGGCACGAGACCTTTCCTGCGGTCACACCTGACTCTTCCTGCCGGGAGGGGGACCGGAGGGGCCAGCAGCTCGCTCGGAGGGAGGCTCCACCGCCGAGGACACTCAGGGCTTGGGAGGGTCGTTGCGGGAAGGGGCAGCGTGTGACCGGAAGGCACAGAGGTGAGACAGAGCGCGAGCCGCGTTCGGGCGCCTGGGAAGGCTCGGCGTGGCTGGGGCCCCGGGTCGCTTGCTCATCGATTTGAAAGAGCCTGAACCGTGCACGTTCAGATTTTCTCCTTTTAACATCGGGGCTGGGGAACCCCTTCAGCTGGCGGGCACCCTAATTAGATACACAAGAGGCTGGGCTCCCCGCGGGGAAGGGTTCAGGCCCCACCTTCAGGGCACGCTGCTGCGGGTCTGACGTGGCGTCTGCGGGGGCCTCAGTTCCGGGGGGCAGCTCGGGGCCCCGCTCGGGCCTCCCACCGCGGCCAGCACAGGGCGGGCGGGCCCATCCCCTGCGACCGGCAGGAAGAACACTCGCCAGAGACACGTATCTTTACAAATGACATAATATTTATTAACAATACCTTTAGAAAAAGATTACATATGCTTGCTAGGTCACTGGTAAATATCAGCCACACTGGGGTTGGGGGCTTCCTGGGGTGTTGTTCCTTTTCATTTTATTGTTTTGGGGTGTGTGTGTGAGAGAGATTTTTAAATGTTGTTTTGTTTTAACATAGTAACAACCATCTCAAACTGAGGACGGAACACAGTTTGAAATACTGAGGATATTTTTCCTGTCGCCACCCTGGAATTTTTGTACAATTGTAATCCTGATTACAACTTTATCGGAGAAATAGAGCTAGAAGTTTGAATAGTTAACTTGAGTTGTCAGTGAGCAAAAGCGACAAATTGCAGGCAGGCTGAGCTCTGAGAAAGCAGAAGGGCGGCCGCGTGTCCACGCATGGAAATTTGTGCAGAAAATGTCACGGCCTCTTAGATCCGCTGGTCCGCCGGTGTGGGCTGCAAACCCTCCCCCACTGTGGCAAACAGCACTTTCGTAAGAATGCGGCTTTGCTGATATTGTCGTTTTCCCATGTGTGAATTTAAGACTCAGAAGGCAAACTTTATAAAGCCTCTAGGCTACTGACTGCGGAACAGGAGGTGCATTGAGATACCGGACTAGGCGCTGAGCGCCTTCTCTGGAGTCACGGGGCAAACTCTGGGGCGGCCTCTGGGGCAGCAACCGCTTGCCGAGGGAGGAGAGATCGGCCCAACGCCAGGCGTGGCTTTTGACTCCAAAGAAGGGCTCTGTTATTAAAGAGATACACATACTCTATATAAGAAATCCTGGAAACAAATTATGAATCCATGAACAGAGAGTTACCTTTGCTTTAAAAATGTACATTCAAACAGATACGTTTAAAGAGAGCAAAATTACCTTGTAGCCTCTGACAGACTCAGTGGACTATAGTAACTTTTGGTCTATGTTATTACCAGCTATGAACTTCAGGTGTGATGCCTAAGATAGAACTGCTATGGAGACGAGGCTAAGTCACTCGCATGGAAGGGGCGGTTTACTGTAGACCATGCTAAGTTCAGGGCAAGAGTATTGCACAAGGTACCTCTTGGGCAGTTAGTTCAGGTTTTGAACTTGTAGCCATTCCCGAAACCATCTCAGGCTGTGTTGAACGACGCAATTCACAACAGGGCAGAAAAACACAGCGTCCGTGTCGAAGGGCTCGGCCCGGCGCGCGAGCCGCCCGAAGGGTCGCTTGCCGTCAGCAGCCGGGGGCCGGAGAGCCGGTCTCGGCCGCCTGCCCTCCATCCGCGTACAACTGGACAAGGGGTTTACAATTTATTTACCGGGGTGAGTTTCCCACTCCACCTCGAAAGGAAACGTTTCCAAACCATAACTGCATGACTGTGGTGCCCATTGCATTGTATAGCAGAGGAAAAAATTAATATCTACATTTCATGTTAACTTTAAAAAATTCTATAAAACACTAAATATATAATAAAAATATGCATATAAGGACATATGTAAACTGCTTTGGTAACATCGTATTACAGATGTCTTCAGTGCATTGCGGAGTTTCCAGAGAAACCGCGGACAAAGCTCGAGTGGCTTTGAGGAAGTTCTGTCGAATGCCATTCCTAAAGAAGCAAAAACATTTTTTCCCCCCCAGTAATAAGATGTACTCCAACAACCACGTTGCTTAGCACTGGGCGTCGTCGGAACCCCCCGGCCAGGGCCTGCGTGCGGCGTGCGGGGCGGCGCGGCGGGCGTCATAGGCTGGGCCGGGCTGTGAGCGATAGCACGATGGTGCTCAGCGCGGACAGCGCGCAGGCGTTCGAAGTGGAGGGCCCCGCGCCGCGGGCGGACGCACCTGCGGAGAGAGAGGCCGGTCACCGACGGCGCCCCTCCCCCGCCGGCCGCCGGCCGCCGCAGGCAGCGAGGGCTCGGGGCTTCGGGGACGGGGACCTGGGGGGGGGGCCGGGGGGACCTGCGGGTGCTACTGGAAACGCCACCGCGTGACGGCCGAAACGTCAGCCCTGCGCGCGGCCTGGCGGCAGGTCCTGGGCGCCGCTGGCTCGGGGTCCGCCAGGCGAGGCCGCCCACACCCCGCAGAGAGGAGGCTTGGGGGCAGCCCGTGCTACTACGGCCCCTTAGGATATGTCGGTGGTGCAGCTGAGTAAAAACTGCTGCCTCCTTTTGCACGTGGTCCTTGGGCCGTGCACTGAGCCCTGTGAGGTTACGCCCGGTGTTGTTACGCCGTTTAACAGGGGGCACACGGGGCCCCGAGAAGTAAGGTCACTCGTCTGGGCTGAGGGGTCATAAGGAACTGGATGGGGACTCATGCCCACGTCTGTCTAAATACGTCCCTTTTATCGCCCCCGCACCCCCGAACTCAATCCTCCTTAAACCTTTCCCGACAGGTCTTCCGTTCTCCTCAGGAAGAGGCTACCAGCTGGCGCTCGAGCGCCCGTGGGATGCGAGGCCGCGAGGCCCGCACACGGGGGCTCCCGGGAGGGCGGGGGCTGTCTGCTCTCGGCGGCCTCCTCCTCCCCTAGCGATCACGCCAACGGGCTGCTCGCAGCCTGGGTTTGTAACGAATTCAGCTGAGAGCCGTCCGTCACCCTGACGGAAGCCCAGCCCTCGCACGACAAGACAGCGTGAGGCCAGGCGCGCACGCAGCAAACCCCGGCCTCGCTGCGTCCGCGGCCTGGAGGCTACGCCTGCGTCTCCCCGGGGCCCCTTTCGGCGGAAGTGGGAGCCGATGGCTTAGCGCGGTGCAGGGGCCAAGGCTCCTCCGAGTTTTAAAAGACAAAGACGCCCCGAGTGTTTGTGTGCCAAAGAGGTGCCGTGGACGAAAATTCCACCGGAGATGGGACAACGCTCCGGGCTCGCCGTGTGGCTTGGAGGAGCTTGGGTCACCTCTCCCGGCGCCCCCGTCCTGTCCTTCCGCCAACGTCAGCAAAGGCCGGGGGAAGCCCCGCGGAGGGGAGGGAGGCTGAGGGCGCAGCGGCCCCCGAGCACTGCTCTCCTGCCGGCGGCCGCCCGGTGGTGCAGGTGCAGCTACGGCTGCTCAGTGGTGCTTCGCTGCGACTTCGCTGTAACTAGGCCCTGTCCGCGCCTGGTCAACCACCTGGGGGACCCCTCGCAGACGGGACGGAACTCAGGACTCCGTGGGGCAGGCTTTGCCCGTGACTGAAAATGCCTTCTCTCCACGGGCAGCCTGGAAACTTCCACCCCCAGCCCTGTCGAACCTCTTACCGAACCCAAAGGCCCGGGCGAGGCCATGTGTACACCCGGAGCAACCAGCACTCCTGCCGAGTTCCAGAACTTTCCTGTCATCCCAGCTGGAGGCCCAGTTCCCGCCAGGCCGCAACGCACTCCACCGGCCAGCCCCGGCCGGCCCCGGCCCGCCACGCATCTGTCTCTGAGTTTGCCTACTCTGTTTTTCTTTAGATAAATGAAATCACTCAACAACAACAAAAAAATATGCTGCAGGCGGAGATGTTTGCAAACAAAACATGTGAAAAATAGGAATGAAGGTATTTGTTCAAAAACACAGAGAGAGTGGGGCAAAAATAGGTTCGTAGTTATTCTTACAGAAAATAACGCAGTAACGATGAATAATAATACAAGAACCAACCGTGTATCGCACGCTCGCAGCGGCGCACCCACCCTTGCCCCCCCTGTGTTCTCACACGCTCACCCCCGTGAACGACGGTCCCGACTATACGCAGGCGTGTGCCTTTATGTTCCCGTGTTACGTGCCCCCTCCAAATTAAGCGTCAAGCTTTCGGTACTTTCCGGGAGACACGCTGAGCCGCACTGTGTCACTGGAGCGTCAAGCCCTCTGCTTGGCCTTCCTGAGAGAGTCACGCTCTCAACTTTCTGGGCTACGCTCTGGGGTGACCGCCGAGCGACCCCGGGGCTCCACCGGGGCCACCGACCTGGGGCTGCCTCAGCCTGGCTTCCTGACTGGGGACGGACTCCATCGGTCACAACCAGTCAAGCGGCCTCTCGCGGGAAGCCGCCCGTGACCGGCAGACGCGGGCCAAGGCTGGGGACGGCGCGCCCTGCTGTGGCTGCGTGTCTCTGGGGGCCCGGCCGAGCCCCGGGGCCGCCTGGACTCGCTGCGCAGCCGCGAGGAGGGGCGGGCAGGGAGCAGGGGACACGTCCTTACTTGTCATCTTTGGGATGCGGATTTGCTCGCTGGCGTGGCCGTCGCCGCCGTCGCTGAAGGGCTTGATCTCTACGATGTAATCCTCACCCAGCGGCAGAGCGAGCTCCACCGACGTCTGGTTGGTTTCGATGACGGATGTGCCGCCGTGTCTGCTCCACCTGTACAAGACCTGCCAACACGGGGGGCAGGCGTCACCTGCGGTCCTCACGGGGGCCCCGGCGCCGCACTGCCGCGGGGTGGTCAGGCCGCCCGCACGCACCGGGAAGGCTCAGGCGTGGACGGGCCTGGCCGCGGTCGCCTCCCCGTTCCCCGTGAGGAGGGTCCAGGGGGCGCCCCTGGGAAAGCGAGCCCCTCTTCGAGGGCGTGAGGAACTCACAGACCCTGAGGGGCTTCGGCATCGCGGCAGGCCTGGCTGCTGGGTGACGGCGGTCCTCGCAACGTGACCTCGCGGGACCTCGTTTCCCTTGTCTGGGGAGGGCCAGAGCAGCCACCTTTCGGGGTGTTTTCCGGAAGGCGCAGGACAGGCGGCCGTGAGGGGCCCGGCTGTCGGGACGTGTGCAGAAACGGCCCCCGGGGGCTCGGCGCGAGCAGGAGGCGGAGCCGTGCTCGGGAGAGGCAGAGGCATGGGCTGGCGACCAGCACCAGTGCCGGACACCCCCGGACCTGGGACCCGTCCGCCCGGAGAGGGGCTCTGACTCTGAAGGCCGAGGCGGCCCCTTCCTCCCCGGGCGCCGTAGGAGGGCGGGAGGCCAGGCGGTGGTGCCTCGCTCAGGAGTGTCTGTAACCGGCACCGGCGCCCCCCACCCCCGAGGCCCCCCTCCTCGCCGCCCCCGCCGCTGCCCCAGGTGTGCCCTGGGTGGGTGGCCCCCCTGCTGAGCCAGCGCCAGGGACGGGGTGGAACCGGCCCCACAGAGCACGGCGCACGGCCCCTCTCCCGAGAACCGGCCCCCGCCTGGCACTGCCTCCTCCGCTGTCAGCAGCGCTGAGCGGGGACAACACGCAGGCCCAGAGAAGGGCCCTGCTCCCTGCGCCACGCGCCTCACCCACGTCGCCAGGGCTCACCGTCTCAGCGTCCCAGCGTCCGCCACGCCGGGGGGCTCCTTCCCCCAGACGGGGAAACCGAGGCCCAGGGCTCCGGGAGGGCTCCTGGCCTCAGACCCCGGTGGCTGTCCCCCGCCCCTCGCCGCCCTGACGCTAACACGGACGCCCCGGCGGGGGGGTCCTGGTTCTCTGTCTGACCCTCGGGGCACCAGGGAGCCTGCCCAGTAGGAAGCTCCGGCCCCAGGCGGGTTCTCGATGGCGGTGGGGGGAGTGCTCTTCCCCCAGGGGACACCTGGCAGCCTCCACACGCCTCAGACATGCTCGGTCGTCCAAGCAGGCATTACCGCCGTGGCGGGTCGGGCCAGGAGAACCCCCTGTGACGCGGAGGACAGTCCCCGCCGCAGAGGACCCGGCCCCAGCCGCGCTCCCGCGGCCCCGAGTCCGTCTGCCTGCGCGGGGCGGGGGGCCCCTGGCTGGGCGCCGGCGCAAACACCCTCAGGCCAGGCGAGCGCGGCCGGGCCTCACCTATCAGACCTGGAGTTTTCCTCAAACCAGGACAGCTGGGCCCTGCCCCTCAGCTCCTGACTTGGGGGCCTGGGGCGGCTTGAAAATCGGCATTTCTACCACACTCCCAGGCGGCCCCGTTGCCCCTGGGGAGGACGTGTTTTGAGAGTCACAGGATGAGCCCCTCCTCCCCGAACCCCCAGGAGAGATTCTGATCAGCTGAGGTCACAGACACGGCCGCTCTTTCATGCCAGACAAACCCAACACAAGTGAAATTCATGAATCCCCCTGAAATGGGTGAGGTGCCGTTCCTTCCCTGGCATTTCAGGACGTTAACTTACATCCCTCCCATGCAAGACGAGGCCACCATTTCCTCCTGGGGGACAGACTCGGGGCGTCCCCTGCCCTGGCAGCCAAGGTCTGCCTTCCCGCCGGCTCTCCCTCTTCCCGCCCCGCCAGCCCCACGCCTCTCCTGTCCTGGGAGAGGTTCTCAGGGAGGGCTTCTCCCTGCCGAGCACGGACCCTGAGCGGCAAAGGCGAAGGGGGGACGGCCCACAGCGCGGGGAGGGGCGGGAGGGAGGCTCAGAAACTCGCCTCATCGCCTCATAGCTCCACCACCGCCCACGCCAACGCCCGGGGCAGCGACTTCCCGTGGCCCAGGCCCCTCGCCGGGGCCCGCAGGGCTCCCTGCCTGCTGCTCCCGGCACCTCTGGGGGAAGGGGCCGCCCAGCGACCCGCTGATCGCAGCCTGCGGACCGCCCTGGCTCGCCGGCACTGCCCCCGGCGCTGCTCAGAAGTGAAACCAGGCCAGCTGCACTCTCAACATTGTGAAATGGGGCATTTTAAATAAATCCCCTCTCCCGCCATCTCCAGGAGGCGCAGGTCCCCGCCCACTGCTTCCAGGGCGACTGGGCAGCGGCGGGCTGGCCCCGCGGACGCCCGTCCCCTCCGGCCACGTGGCTGCCCGGGCAGCTCCATCCGTCCCGAGGGCCCCGGGGTCAGGCCTTTGCGGGCCCCTCATTTACCACCGATTCCAGGGCCGACGGAAGACCATTCTCACTGCGCCGGAACATTTTGATTAAGTTCTTCTATCTGAAAACTATAAAATCATAGATTTGGTTTCTACAATTTTTTTTTTTTTTTTAATAATGAAGACTGTGGGACCACTCACTGAAGGTGCCTGGAAATTCTCTGGTTTTTTTTTTTTTTTTGGATGATTTTATTTATTGATTATTAGAGAGGGGAAGGGAAGGAGAAAGAGAGGGAGAGCAACATCGATGTGCGGTTGCCTCTCGTGCGCCCCCTGCTGGGGACCGGGCCGCAGCCCAGGCCTGCACCCTGACTGGGAATCGAACCAGTGACCCTTTGGTGTGCAGGCCGGCGCTCAAGCCACCGGACCCCGTCAGAAGAAATGTAAAATCACTGGCCATCGAGGGCCTTGTCAACGCAGCCCAGGGACTGCGTTGTAGCCATTCCCTCCCAACGTTCGGGCCTGGAAGGAACTCACAGAGTCGCGCAACTTCCTCGTCCACACACTGTCCCTTCCTAGTGCCTCACTGGGCGGCCACCTGGCTCTGCCCAGCGGCTCAGCCGACACTCCTCGCCACGCTGCCTTTCCCGGGCGGCCCCAGCGCCCTCCCCGGGAGCTTGAGCAGCGATTCTGACTCCGTTAACGGCCCTTCCGACGTCTGAAGTGGCCGCCGCGCCTCCAAGGATCGTTTGCCCTCCAGCCTGACATCTGCAGGCCCTTCTCTTCCTCACTTGCCTTTGGCGCCGGCCTCCCAGCTAAAGCCTCCTCCGTGCGCGTTGCGGTTGCAGACGGGTCCCCGACAGCTGCCCCTCGTGCACCCCCGGGCGCTCGCACCACGGGGAAGAACCCGTTTCCCTCGCTTTGAGCTGAGCCGCCGGCCGTGGCCCATCCTGCCTGCAGCTGCGGGAAGACAGGCTGCGCGGGTTTCCTCCCTCGTGGAGCCAGCAGCCACGCAGGACGCCTGGCAACCTCGCGCTCAGCCGCCCGCGCGGGCCCCGCGGGGACACGGGGCGAGGCCAGGGGAGCGAGCTGTGCTGACCGCCCGGCCCCGAGGCCGTCTGCCGTGCAGACGTCCACTCCAGCCCAGAAAACGGCAAGTTTTGGTGTGAGCCCTGCCTTTTAGGGTGGGTTTTAGGCGGCAGCTAGAGACCCGAGAACACTGGCAGGGTATTTAACTCTTTTTAATGTGACGTCTGGGCCCCACACACCTTCTTTTCTAGCTCTTTGAAGTCAGGCTGGCGTTACGGGATCGGGCAAAGGAATTTTCTGGGGGAAAAAACAATCCTTGCTGCTTTCTCTGTGAGTATGTCTTCCTAACTCTGGGGACAAGCACGGCTGCAATTCGCCACTGGCGGTGCTGAGAGGTCCCTACTGTGGGCGCGGGAAAAGCGCAACCAAGGCCAGAATGAGAGGAAGCGGAGAGCAGACGCGTCCAAGGCCCCGCGCGGTCTCTGGCAGGCCCCACGTCGGGGCCGCCGGCCGCCTCTGGCCGGCTCTGCCTGCGCCTCGTTTAGGCGATTGTCCAAACCCGGGCCCGCTGCCCCGGACCATCGACCAAGCGCAGACCGAACACCGCGGGGCAGCGAGTCCTGAAGAGTTTGGGGGGGGCCACGGTCCCCGTGCTTCGTGGGAAGGGGAGGCCCCCGCTAACGGCCTTGGCAAAACAAGAAGCGACCCACCTTGTAGCCTTTCACCTCCGACTCGTTTTCCAGTGCCTTCACTTGATCCCAGTTCAGGATGATTTTGGAGTCCGACGAATTCCATATGATATTCCCGGGGGGCTGGCTTGGCGCTACAGGAAAATTAAGAAGCACAGAAGCACAGGCCATTAAGCTGCCGTGGATTCCGAGGACCACCTCCGTACCGGACGTGGAGCGCGGAGGCAATTTAACGGACTGTTGCACTAACGGGTGTCCCCAAGGTCCCTAACGCCGGACGACAGCCGCGCCGCAGATGGGAAACGATTCAGTGGTCACCTAACATTGGAAGCTAAAAGACGTTGCCCTTCGCAGTGCGAGAAAAACGGGTCTTTCTGTCCTCTGAGCAATGCATTTCGCGTGGTGTTCAGAAAGGGTCTGTTGCACCGCTAAGGCAAGTGTGAATCCACATAATGATACAATTACTGTGCAAGTGATCATGGGGACGGGGGGAAGGAACTTGGGATACGTTTGAGGAACCTCCCAAGCACTTCTGCGCAGCGTGGTTCTTACGAGGCTTCCTGGTCGTCACGTTGACGGTAGCACTGGACGGGCCGGTCCCCGCTGTGTTATAGGCCTTGACAGCTAAGTGATACAGCGCGCTGCCTTGTAAGTTGGTGATTTTGGTCGATGTCTGATTTCCGAACGTCCGTATTTTTCGAGCGTTTTCTTCCTTCTCTTCATGTCTCCAGTATTTAACCTGAGGAAATAAAACGGAAGACCTTGGAAATCCTGCGCCCGGGGCTATGTCCACGGTCCTCAGGCAACACGCCTCCCCGTGCCGGCTCTTACGGCGGAGCCGGCTTCCTGTGAGGGTTCACAGGCGGCGCTGTCAGAGCCGAGGGGCCTGCGTGCCCTGCACCGTTGCCCACGGCGGCAGGGCCCCCGGGCTCTCATGCCACGGTGAGGTGGCACATCGCTGCCACCGCGCTGGCACTGTCTGCCCTTCCCTCAACCTTTGTTTTGAGCCCACGTGGTTCTGGGGACATCTGAGTCCACGCTCACCGTGCCAAGCACCACACTCATGTGAACGCTCGGGCCTGCATGCATTTTGAAACACCTCTCTAAGGGCACCCTCAAAAGCCAGCCTCACGGGGAGACGTTCTCTGCCCCCAGGAAGGCTCCCGCAAAAGCCGGGCCCCCAAAACCAACGCCTCCAAAGGCACGCGGGTCTCGGAGGGCTCGCCGCAGCGGGGAGGGGTTGCTTGCCCGGGGCTGACCTCATAGCCTTGTATCCGTCCTCTGTTCTTCTCCTTGGGGGAGGCCCAGAAGACTTCGATGTCTGTTGCAGAGAGACTCCTGGCGAAGAGGTTGGCTGGTGGTTTGGTGGGTTCTGTGCGGGGGGGAAGGGCACGACTGTCAGCTGCCTCCGGACAGATGCCGGGTGCGGGCAGAGAGCCCGGGGCGGAGTGGCCCCTGACTTCACGGAGCGGCCATGGCTGACCGCCGGGGTCCGGGCACAGAGGCCGCGATGCAGACACCTGCCCAAAGCCTCGGGGGGTGGTGAGTGGGGGTCAGTGGGGTACGCGGGGGCCGGTCACTGGGGCTGCCCGCGTGTCATTTAACACTGTCCTTCTAAATTAACAAGTGTCACAAGCGAGCGTCCTGGCCCTGGGTTAAGGCTGTGACAGGGAAGGGAGACAAGACAGTCAACTGCCTCGACCGAGACCCAGGAGCGTCGGGTGACCGTCGAGTTCCGCACAGCAAACCGTGTGGCCCTGGACAAGTCCCCCCTTGTCCTGGGCCTCAGCCTCCTCGGCTGCACTCAAGAGTCTAGGCCAAGACTGTTGCCTAAATTCCAGTTGTTTTTGCCAGATTTCTGCCAAAACTTTGTACCATTTTTATATGTTACTGTATTCCTTTCAGTGGTCTTTCTTAAAGAAAAACCTAGCCACGTCGCGAGCGCTAATACTCGTGAAATCCTGGTTTTGCTTTCAGAGCTGTGATTTTTCCTAATGCAATGCCCATCCAGGTGGGACTACGGAATGTTCTTAGAAGTTTACAGGCCCCCTGGGAGCACCCTCTGGCACACACGCCCCCCGCTTTCTGGAAGACGCTGGACCGGGACGCCTCTAAGACTCGGTCTCGCTGTAACGATAAATGACCCTATTACGTGTTCACGGATTCGGTATTTATGGAGGGCTGTGTGTCACACATGGTTAGACGCTGGGGACGCGGAGGTCAAGGATGCACAGCGGGCCCTCCGGAGGCTCGCCGTAGAGAGGATGTAAAATTGACATTCAAAATTTATAACACGTGGCGACGAGCACGCCCGTAGAGGACGCTGGGAAGGTGACAGGCGGAACTCAGCTGGCCTGGGGACCGAGAGGCGGCCTTGGGCCTTCAGGCCGAGACCGGGAGGACGCGTGTGCAATCACAGTGGGCAAGACGGGGGATGCTCGGAGAGGGGGCGCGCACACAGGGGTTCGAGCTCGTCCGGGTGACGGCCGTCCTCGGGGGCGGCTGCAGCCCCGGGTGCGCTGGGCGGGGGCCGAGTGCAGGCTGGGCGGGGGCCAGCGGGCGGGGGCTGCCGTTTCAGGGGCTGCCTGGGCGGGAGAACCCGCTGCACCCCCCCCCCCGCCCCCGCTCCAAACCAGACTCGGCTGTCAGACGCCTTCCTACGGTGTCACTGTGGACGTGCCCTTTGACACAGGGAGGACACAGTCACGGGGCAACAAAGACCGTGTGGGGGGCACAGGGATAGCGGAGACGGTGTGTGGGGACCCTAAACACGGCGACGCTGGGGACACGCATGAGGGCGACCACACCGTGTGGAGGCTCATCCTTAATGACACCGAGTAAGTGGTCCGTGCCTCATGCTTTATAAAAACAAAACGGCGAGAGGCAGCTAACGGGGTGACAGAGGCTAGGCTTCCTCGGAAGGCGATGCCGCCCCGTTCACAGGCAGGAAGGCGGCGCGTGGCCCTGCCGGCTCGGTCCTCGGCGATGGGCTCGGTCACGGGCCCGCAGGAGGTCTCTGTCCTCCGAGGATCCTGGTGGCGCACAGCCAGCCAGTTTTCACGTCGCCCTTTTTTCAAATCAGGAGACGCAGCGCTCGGTGACTGCACGTCTTGCAGCCGACACGCGGGCGGCTCAGGCGACCCGGCCCGGGCAGCGGCGGCCCTACCTTCTTCCGCAGAGTAGACCACGGTGATGGGGCTGAAGGGGCCTTCGCCTTTGTTGTTGTAGACGCCCACTCGGACCTCGAACGGGGAGAAGGGGCGCACGCTCTCGTTCCTGAAGACGTATCTGCAGGCGTCGGCCGAGGCCAGCACGGTCAGCATCCAGATCACGGTGCCGTAGGGCCGGAAGGCCACCACGTAGCCGAAGCCGCGGCCGTTCTGCAGTTCCTCGGGAACCGTCTGGGGGCGGGGGAGGCGGTCAGGGAGAGGTTTCCAGGACCGCGGGCACTGGATTCAAGTGCTAAAATGGTTTTATCCTGCCAACCAAACATCCTGTCTAGTTTCTCCGCCCCTCCCCCCAACTCATTTTGGGTTTTGCCAAGACCCTTGGGCTGGCCATCCGCCTCGGGGCGTGGGACACGGCTCAAAGACCTCAGCAAACACCGGCAGCGGACGGCGGGGCTCAGACCCCGTTCTGAGACAGCTGGGAATGACTATGAGACGCTCGCTGGGTAGGGGATGCAAAACCCAACGGTTCCGACAGGTACCATCCGCTACAACTCTTCCCCCAGGGCCACACAGACCGAAGGCCCGCCCACAGAGGCAGGGAGCCCCTTGGCTCCGGCCAGACCTGCCCCTTCCGAGCTGGAGGCGGGGCTGGAGGTGGAGCACCCCCCCTCCCCCGCGCGGGGGCCTGGGCTGAAAGCAAGATTTCAACATCTGGGCTGTTGGCCAGAATCCTTGGAAAACATGGAGAACCCTCTGGAACACTGCCCCCTCTTCACGATTGTTTTGAAACTTAACGATCGATGGGCAAGCGCTGCATTGCCCTGCTGGCCATGAGCTCTGCGGAGGGAGGGTGCGCACGCCCATGGGTGCTAGCGGCTACCACAGCGGGGGACCCTCCCAGCGACGTGTCCGCAGAGGACACGGGGAGGCCGCCCGGACGGCTGCAGCTTCCCTGTGGCTGCGGCTCATTTACCTCCCAGGTTATCACCAGCTCCGACTTGCTGCCTCCTCCGCCACTGACGTTGGCTGGGGTGACTTCGGGGACTGTTCAGGAGACAAAAAAGAGGTCATGTCAGGGGCAAAGGCAAATGAGGGCCACGGAGGCGGCCCAGCGGGGGCGACGCACATCAAACAGACACTTGGGTGCACACGCACCTGCGCCTTTGGAGATTAGAAACTGTGTGGTCAAGAGGCCCCGAGCATCCCCGCGAGGACGCGCCGTGCCCCAGGGAAGTTGCTGCTGGTCACCTGTTTCCCTTTCGACAAGGCACAGGTGTTCCGGACCCGGCCGGCCGCTCGCGGGGCTCCAGCCCCGGAGGCCGGAGGCCGGAGGCCAGGGGCAGGGGAAGGGACTGTGGCTCTGGGTCTAAGGCCCGGGGGGGCGTTTAGAGTCTGCGGTGGCACACCCCGGGACGGCAGGCACAGAACAGTCGCAGCGCGAGGTCCGCGAGCAACAGCTCGGGCCCAGGACGGCGATGCGTGGCGTCCAGGGCGGAGGCCGCTCCACGGGGCGCTGGCCTAATGGCTCCCTGGGGGACGGGGGGGCGGAGCTGGGAGCTGAAGGGGCAGCGGTCAGAGGCTGCCCCTGGCTCGCTGTGCTTAGCGTCTTTGGTCCCCAGCTTCCTCTGGGAAAGAGGGGCAATGCCGCCGGCTCCCTCTTCAGGACAGTTGAGAGGAACAGTTACGTCGCAGTTGGACGGGGAGGCCAGGGCGCGAGGTGCCCCACCGGCCTGTGAATGAAGGTGGCCGCAGGGGCGGGGGTCTGGCCCTCCGCAGCCGGACCGGCCACGCCCCCTCGGGGAGCGCCCTGGTCGGTCCAAGGGCGGGCGGGTCCGAGTCCCAGCTGTTGAGGGTCCCTGCTCTTCTCTCAACCAGCACAGGGCCTCACGTCGGCTGGGAACCCCCACCCGGGCCCTGCGTGTGCGGGAGAAGCTTGGGCACAAACGACCCGACAGGTTCATGGAGTCACCTCCTCCCTGCGCTCACTGAAGCGGCGGACGGGGGGGCCTAATGAGACTGCTGACCGGGGAGTTGGTGGGGCGCCCCGATCTCAGCTTGGGGGCCTGGTTTACCCCCTAAGAAACCTGCCTGCCCTACTCTGAGGAACCTGCTCTTGGCCCCTGGGGGTTTCTGGGGGCGGATTCCACGTGAAACGTGGGGGGGCCCTGCCGAGGGATGGACCAGCGACGGAGGCGCCGCTCTCCCTGCCCACGGGGCGCCCGGCAGAGGGAGGCCCGACTCGGGACCGAGGCTCACCAACTGGTGAGGCGGCGGCCGCAGACTGACCCCTGACCCTTCGGACCCTGGGGAGGGCGGGGCGCGCTCACAGAGGCCCCGGGGGCGGCCGCAGGAGGAGCTCGCGGCCCTCAGGACTGTCCGTGCCGGCAGCTACTCACGGGCCTCCTCTGTCCTCCGCTTCTCCGAGGGCCGGCTGGGCTCCCCCATCCCAATCGCGTTGGCTGCCACCGTGCGGAATTCATACTCGACCCAAGGGTTCAAACCCACCACGGTCGCCGTGAACGTCTTCCCGTCAATGACTTCGGGGACTGAAAGGCACCGGGGGACACCCGTGTTGGGAGGCGGGCGCGTCCGCCCGCCTCCCCGCCTGGACTGCGCCCAGGGCGCGACGGCCACCCACCGGGGGCGTCACCAGAGGCCCCGTCTTCAAGGCTCAGAGCTGCCTGGTGTGCACGTGGTCGCGTTCTCGCAGCTGCCCTGTGAGTGGGGCAGCGGGGTGGCCTTCGTGGCCGTGGGTGAGGGAGGCGCGCCTGGCGGAGCGGCCGGGGCTCACCCACGGCCACGCTGGGTGGGCGCCTCTGTCCAGCCGCACGGCCTGAGCTCCGCCTCTGAGGGTGACGCCGGAGGCCGAACGTCACGCACCCCGACCCTGCCGGGGTCGCCCGGCGGAGCTTGCGGAAGGGCTGCTGCCCAAAGGAGGTGGCCCCGGGCCCGAGGCCGCAGCCGGGAGGCTCCGCGCGTCGCTTCCCCGCCCCCTGAGCCACTGCCTGGGCTTTAAACCGACTGCTGTGCCGACTTCCCGTTGGACCCGGGGCGGACAAAGGGTGACATCCTGGGCGGAGCCAAGGCCACGGCGGTGCTGGTGGGCGGGCTCCGTGGCCGCCCGCCTCACGCAGCCCCACCCTCCCAGGCAGAGCGCAGGCTCGGGAGGCAGGCGGGCCCCCTGGATTCTGGTCCTGAATCCTCACGTAGCAGCCGGCGGACCCTGGGCGGGCCGCTTCACCTCCCGTGCCGCGGTTTCCTCCGCGGTTTCCTCCCCGTAAACTAAGGCCCATGACGACGTCCCCTCCAGCCTGCCGACCCAACCCGAGCCCAGCGCCCCGCGGAGCACCGGGCGCGTGGCAAGGGCTCGACGAATCCTGGTGTCCTTTTCTTAAACTGTGGCCGGCATCGCCCCCCCTCCCCCGCCTCCTCCTTTATGCCCTTCCTCCTGTGCGCGCGGCCCTGCCCCTGTGTTGCAAAGCTGCACAACCGTGTCTCTTTTGCGTGTAAGCAACTCCGTGTGCCGCAGACCAGGACGTGAAGAGCCTGTCAGACTCGACTCCCTGTCCTGACGGCTGGTCCCCCGCCGCCCCTCCCGGAACCTCGCCTGCGACTCGCGAGGCAGTCAGGGCCCAGCTGCAAACGCAGAGCCCATATCCGCAGTCGGATAAGTTACCGTGGAAAGAAAGCGCAGAAGTTGTGACAGTCACTAGGATTCTTCCGTAAGCTGGACGCTTCCCTCCACGTAATCCGCCTCCCCCACAACGAGGCCACGGCAGGCGCGGGGGCGGGAGGAGCCTGCGCCTCCCCAGCAACGGCGACCGGTTTGCCCAGCTCCCCCGCCCTCTGCCCCCCTTGCGGCCTGAGTGAAATAACAAAGCGAGCCAATTTAGGGGCACAGCAGGGGAAGTGGGGGTACGGGGCGGGGGGATGGCCAACCCATGTGCTTTTTAACCAACTTGATCTCATGCCTCTTCGCGCCCAAACTTATCCACCTAAAAAAGCAGCGGCCCTAGCCGGTCCTTGGTTACTGGTTCCCGGAGCAGCGTGTCTCCAGCCCAAGACCGACTGTGACCAGCCTGCGCCTCCGCTTGCCAGCGTGGACCTCGCGCGGCGCGCAGGTGGCTGCGGGGACGCAGGGACGGGCGCGCTGCATTCTCACAACTCATGCACTTTACCATGTGTGTTAAGAGAAAACAGAACCGACACAAGGGACCTCCCACGTCACAGCCATCGCTGCTTAGGGCACGTTTTCAGACAAACAGAGGGAGCTGGCAGGAAGGGCCCGCTGTGAAGGGCAGCACCGGGGCTGCGGCCTGGGATCCCCTGCCCCCCGCGCCCCCCACGTGTGCCCTGGCTGTGCCGCGGCGCCGTGCCCCTCACGCAGGGTCTCCGAAGGCCCGTCGGCCCCCGCGCGACGGCAGCGGTGGCGGTGGCGCGGTACCTGTGCTGACGGCTTGCCAGCCCACGGAGAACGGGGTGCGGGCCTGAACGGCGAACACCGTGACGGGGCTGTGGTTGTCGGGCCCGGGCCTCCAGGAGAGCTGGGCGGTGGTGTCTGTGATTTCGTCGATGGTCACGGCCTCGGGGGGGCCCGGGGGACCTGTCGAAGAGCAAGACGCTCAGGGTGGGTTCGGGTGTCTGAGCGAGCGGTCGCTTCACGGAACGGGCCCCTCCGGCCCCGCCTCTCCCCGTCCCAGACGCGTCCCGCGCCAGCGCCCTGCCGAGCCCTGCGAGGAGCCCGTGTCCGTCCGGCCCTGAGGCCAGATGTGCACGAGGCAAGGCCTCTGCCTCCAGGGGCTGGCGTGCGGCAGGAAACGCTAGCAGGAGAAGCACCAACTGCAGTGTTTATTCCAGGGCTCAGGCGGACGGCTGGGGCACACGGGGCCCAAGCCCTGTGATTCGCCCTCGCGGCCTCATGGGCCTGCGAGGGCCGGGCGCTGCCACGGGACACGGCAGACGTGGGCCGAGGCGAGCGCCTTCTAGGAACGCCCCTTTCCACCCTGGAGCAGAAGCGGCTCTGGAACTTCAGGGTCCCAGGGTCGCCCTGCGCCCCCCCGCCCCCCACAACAAAGGCAGGCGCACACTGCGAGCGCGAGGACACAGCGGCGCCCTCGGCCGGGGCTCCCGTCGCAGACCACGGCCGCCCCAGGGCAAGCTCACAACCGGGCGGTGTCTCCTGACCCCCCTCTGCAGCCCCTGCAGGTCGTGCCTGTGTGTTCCCACTTCTCTCCCGGGGGACACGGTGTCCGCCCTGGGCTCGGACCCCTGAAATGGGCTCGGAAATCGAAGGAGCGGAGGGCGGGAAGGGGGCGCCGAGAACAGAGCGGAGGCCCGGGCCTCGGTCCCGGCACAGAGAGCTCTCACCGGGCTGCCCCCGGCTTTCTGAGAAGGCACCATCGACAGCCTTGGGAGAGGAGGTGGCTGTGAGGGACACAGAATGACAACCGTCCTGCCCACTGGACAGGCGGGGGGCGGGGGGTCCTCCGGGGAGGGGCGTGCCGCGCCCGCACGGCGGTCACGGGGACCGCGGGCTGGGAGGCGAGCAGCTGCTGGCCGCCTCCCCAAGGAGACTTAGCTCCTGAGGTCCCTCCCGCGCTCTGTGTGCCGTGCCCCGAATTTCTCTCTCCTTCATGAGTCACTTTTATAGACCCGCAGGTGGGACTAAATTTATCTTCCCCCTCCCTCTCCTGAACGACAGGTCTGGAAACCTGTGAGCTGCCCTGATTGATGTCCACAGTGACATTTCAGCGTGTCAGCCTAATGCCACCTCGATAGGTCTCCGGGACCCTTATTAGCAGATAAAGTCCGGAAGACAATAACCTCCTTTCCTCACCCTCGCGTCCCCCCCCGCCCTCACTAACAACTGCTCCTTGGATGGCCTTTAAAATCAGGGCCCTGGACCCAGAGGCCTGTCCCGCCAGCTCCTCCGCGGCCAGATCGAGGGCAAGGCTGCGGGCCCGCAGCGGGCGGCTGACCGGGGAGGAAACGCAGGGACGGGCGCAGAGAAGAAGGGGCTTCCTGCGCTCTGTTTGCTCTTCGTAAAATTCCAGCCCCCCCGCCCCCGCCGCCTCCCGCCCACGATGCACAGACGTGGCCTTGTAGAGCCTTCACCAGCTTTGTTAGGGGGAGTGGGGCGCCTTCTTCAAAACGACGCGAGCAGCTGCGCATCCTCCGAGCAAAGGGTTCCCGCGGTCAGGGCTCGCTGCTCCCTGACGCTCTTGTCCCCGGCTCAGCCCTCCCAGAAGGGCCCTCCCAGCTGCCCCTGGTGGCCGGGGGTGCACCCCGGTCAATAGCGGAGGACCCAGGAGGCCCGGCCACGGCTCGGGGCTGCGCTGAGTCCCGTGCGCGACTCTCCTCCAGGGCAGGGAGAGCCTGCCATCCTGCCTCCTTCGGACGGGCAGCCGCCGGGCCGGACGGGCAGCCGCCGGCACAGGCAGCCAGGCCCGGGCGGAGCTGGAGATCAGGCAGCGACGCCGGGGTGCACAGCGGCACCATCATCTATGGGCCGTGTGAACTGACTAGACTAGATCTCCTTTTAGGCTGCATTTGCAAATTCCTCTTGGTATTTAACGTTATTTTCTGTGAAATGGAGTATACAAATTCATTTAAGAACCTGGAGTATTACTGATTTAAGTACTTATTAGTGTAACGTATTGGCGTTTGAACGGCTGCTCTGAAGAGTGCTCTCATTAGAGGATACATTTTCAGCAACAGAATTCCTTTGTCCCCGGGGGCAGGGATGGGGCGGGCCAGCTTTGGCGACCTTGAAATGGACACAAACACGTTTCCACACGCAGGTGTCCTGTGGGGAGCCGCGCACCGGCCAGAGGGTCCCCCTGATCTCGCCCCCGTTGCTGCTGTGACCGAAAGGCTTCTTTGGGGAACCAGGGCAGACAGGATGAAAAAGTGGGTTTTGTGGAACGTCTCTTGACGGCTACTGTAAGCTGTTACCCGCCCCCCGCCCCCGCCCCGTTAGGCCTGGAGGGGAGAGCGGCGGTTTTCGCAGCTTCTGGTAACCACGGTTCCCTGCGCACTGAGCGTCGCGCCGCCTGCACCCCTGAGTGCACCTGGATTTTACTCCCCTGCACCTGGAGCCCTGACGGTCCGAGACGCCTGCACACCCCCAGCTGCGGTCCCGCGGAAGGAGACGCCTGGGAGGTACTCTCTTGACGTTCTGAACGGCTTCACTTTTCACAGGTTAGAAAGCCCAGAGCACGGTGTGCACGATGGCTTTACGTTTAATTTAAAGATATTTCTTTTCTTTTTTAAAAAGATTTTATTTATTTTATTTTTAGAGCGAGGGGAAAGGAGGGAGAAAGAGGGAGAGAAACATCCATGTGTGGTTGCGTCTTGCGCGCCCCCTGCTGGGGACCTGGCTTGCCACCCAGGCAGGTGCCCCGACTGGGAATCAAACCAGGGACCCTTTGCTTTGTACAACAGGCTGGCACTCAAGCCACTGAGCCACACCAGCCAGGGCTAATTAAAGAGATTTCTTAAAAGCCCATGGACTCTTCCCTTCCCATGGGGCTTGCACTTTGGTCCCGTGTGGCTCACACAGGGGGTTTGCGCCCATAGGCTGAAGTCAGCCCAAGAAGTTCCCCCAGACGTCAGTCTGCACCTGAACTCCCAGCTGAACCGCACCCTGGGGAGGTTGGGGGTGTTTCTCTCCAAAGCTGTGTTTTAGGAGCTGGACGGAACGAGTAACTTCGGGGAAAGAAGAGGACGCAGGGGAAGCCGGAGGCTGTCCCGCCAGCTGCTCCTCCGGCCGGCCTGGGCGCGGCTCCCGTGAAGCCTGCACGAGCGTGCTGACCCCCGCCGCCGCGTGCGTGTGCTCGTCCGACGTGATCCCGGGTCACCTCCGCCCCGGCCGCTGGCCGCCGGCCCCTCCCGGGAGGACGGCCAGCACAGAGGGTCTGCCCTGCCTCCTTGGACGGCCTCCCGTGAGAAACTGATGCACAGAAACTGCCGCCAGCGGCTTTAACCCCTATTTACCAGGCTCAGCGTTCCCCCCCCCGCCCCCCGCCCATGCACCCTTTGCCCTCCGGTAATCCCAAGCCGCCGAGCTGTTCAGAGCTCTGTGCGGGAGCAGGCGCCCCGGACAGCACCCAAGCCCCTACCTCTGACGATCAGGCTGGCCGCCACAGACAGCTGGTCCACGCTGGTCTGGACCACGCAGACGTAGTTCCCGGCGTGCTTCAGCTGGATGTTGCGGATCATCAGGTCGCCCGCGGAGTCCTGCTGATAAAGTGGTGGCTGCGATTAGTTTTTAATGAGCGCTACGTATCGTGCCCACACGAAGGGCGCTGTGACCAATGCATTTGTCTTACACTGGCTGACGACAGAAACATTGGATGTACGAGCCACGGCCTGTTAAGGCCAGGCAGCCGGCCGGGGCGGCAAGAACGCAACGTGCCCCAAACGCTCCCGGGACAGGACCTCGGGCCTGGCTTCTCTGGGCCTCATTCGCCACCCGTGCCGGAGCACGCAGCTTACGAAGGGCGGCTCCTGACTTAGCCCCACGGGCTTCTCCGGACACCCCTCAGCCCGTCGGCTGCCAGGGGCTGCGCTCTCGTCCCTCGGGGCCCTGTGTTTGGAAAGGCCCACATCGGGGGCCTCCGCGGCCTGGGCCCGCCCTCGGATGGCCCCGGGCCTGCCTGAAAGGGCCGTGACGACCACACCGCCACGGAAACCTCGCGGAGCTTTCAGCGGGACGTGCTGGCTCGTTCTCCAAAAGCCGAACGCGCATTTGATCAGCAGAAGAACAGGACGGATGACATCCAGGAGGGATGGCTACGTGCCCGAGAAACGGGGCTTTCAACGGCCCCACAGATGCGCCCGCACAGGCTGGTGCGAAGGCGGCGTTCGCTGAGGGACGCGCTACGCCTGGGAGGTGGCTGTCACAGCCCGGTGGCCAGAGGCCTGGGGAAGAGCCGCGTGAGCCGGGGCCACCTCAGGGGTCAGACTTGGGAAGGTACGCTTCTTTCTAACCCCCCACGCATGGGTGACAAGGTAACGAGGTGTCCCCTCCTCCAAGGAGAGACCCTCCTGTTGCCATCCTTCCTGTGACAATGCTACTGGGCAGTGCCCAGCGGCACTTCACACCTGGCAGGCACGGCGCAGCGCTTGCTGGGGCCCTGCCTGGGGAGCTCACTGAACAGCCCGCCCCGGGAGGCGGGGCCTTGCTCCCCTGACCTGACAGGTGAGGCAGCGCGGGAGGCGGGAGGCGGGGCCACCTGCCTGCCGTCATTTGCCCAGGCAGTGGCAGAGCCAGGCTGGGAAGCCCCGTGGTCTCGGCCCCTGCTCTTTCTTTTCCCAATTACAGTTGACATTCTGTGTTATTTGTAGTAGTTTCAGGGGAGGAGCCGGGTAGTTAGACAGTCGCAGGCCCTACACGGGGCCCCCGGATGTCCCCAGCGCCCGGCGGGCGCCGCCCCACAGCGGTTGCTGCAGCTTCGTGGGCTGTGCCCCTGCCCGTGCCTCACGTCCCCGGCCTGCTCTGTGCCCGCGACCTGTCCGCCTCCATCCCAACGCCCTTCCGCCCGCCCCCGCGGCCCCGCCCCTCCGGCCCCCGGCACGCTCCTCTCTGCGTCTGTGAGTCTGTTTCTGTTTTGTTTGTCCTACTCTGTAGATTCCACACGCAAGTGAAATCATAAAGGCATTTGTCTTTCTGTCTCCGACCCGTTTTAATTGGTGTCATACTGCCTAGGCTCATCCGTGCTGTTGCAAGTGGTAAGAGTGCCTCCTTTTTCACGGCCAAGTCGCATTCCGTGGTGTGAACAAACGCCAGCTGTTTTACCCGCTCATCTACTGAGGGGCCCTCGGGCTGCTTCCAGATCTTGGCGATTGTAGATAACACTGCTCTGAACGTAGGGGTGCAACTATTCTTTGGAATGAGTGTTTCAGGTTTCTTCAGCTATATTCCCAGAAAGCAGCAGAATCGCTGGGTGATAAGGCAGTTCCACTTTTAGTCTCTTGAGGCGCCAGCGCACCACTTCCCACGGCGGCTGTGCCAGGCCGCGGGCCCGCGTGCGGCCCACGAGGGCTCCCCTCTCTGCGTCCTCGCCAGCACACGTTTGCTGATGTACGGACGGCAGTTTTTCTGACGGGGTGCGGGGTCTCTCACTGCGGTTTCGCCCTGCATCTCTCTGGTGGCTCTGGGGTCACTGAGCTCAGTCCCTTTTCTCACCTATGAGACTGTCCTGCCCTCTAGAAAGACCTCCTTCTACTGACAGTGCCCTGGGTTTCCTCCCTTGGTTCCGGCACAACAGGTCGCTTACTGCGCCAGGACAATGGAAGACGCGGGCCAGCAGCTGTCAACAGGACGAGAGGGGAGGCGGGCGCAGAGCGAGGAGACAGCCAACGTCTGCCGGGGCTGACAGTGCGCCCCCCGCCCCTCCCCGCCCCCCATAAGCCTCTTCCTTTCCGTGGGCCCGAGACAGGCCTGGAAGGAAGGACCCGCCGCCTGCTGAGCGGGGCTGTCAGAGCGCAGTGGTGCTGCGTGCGCGGGGTGCGCGGGCGCGTTTGTGGGCGCGCGAGCGCCTTCTGACGACCGAGAGGCAGGGTCCATGTGCCCTGGCGTCACCGGTGACCACGATCCCTCAGGTCACAGACCGTAAACCTAATCCAGGAAGAGTTGCGATTGTTTTTTTTAACCTGAAAGCACTTTTATTTATAACACCTGGTTTCTCATCCCGATTCTACTGTTGACTGATCAAGTCTTGTAATTGCTCCGTTAACCAGGACTCCTCATCGGGAATTTCCCGCAATAAGGTGCGTGAACAAAACGATCAAACGCTGACTTTGCGTTTCCTTTCCCGGCAGACAGGCCGCCCAGGGCCTGCGGGCTCCCTGCGGGGCTCCGGTGTGGATACTTACCCCTCCGACCCTTTCAAAGTGGTCCCCGTCTCTGTCAAAGTCTATCAGGCGCCCATTGAACAGCCAGGTGAACACTATGTCGAGCGAGGGGTCGTGGGTCACCTGGCACGTGAGAACGATGCTCTCGCCGACGGTGACGTCCATGCTGGAGGGCGGCACGGCCACCCTGGTGGGGTCTGCAGAGTGGACACAAGGCAGACAGTGAGTCTGTGGGCGGGGCGGAAAACCGTGCGGAGCCCAGAGGGCGGGGCTCCGAGAAGCTTCACTTCAGCTTCCCCAGGCGGTGGCCCACCGACCTCAGCCCCCGGGCAGGCCCGGGGTCGGTCCAGGAGGTCACTGTTCTGTGAGATGAGAACACGCGTCACCTCCCAGCCGGAAGCCTCCCGGGGGGGGGGGCCCAGCCTGCAGAACGGGGGCTGGGTCGGCTCGCACCTCGGTAGGGGGACGCTCCCCTGACCGCCCCTTCCAGCAAGGTCCCCTCCCTCCCGCGCCCCTCAGGAGAAAGCAGTGTTTCTTCTGCAGAGGAGAACCTTCGTTAATTTGAAGTTCGTTGAGCCTTTATTCCCTTTGATCAACATGATAAACGTTCAGTACGGGGAATTTAGAAAATTCAGGAAGTTCAAAGAAGGGATCAAACCCCGACCCCAAAACAACCAACCTACCAACCAACCAACCAGCACAAACCCCTCTTTACTCTCTCCCTATCTGGCTTAGACCTCTTTTCACTTTGGGGTAACTGCCCTTTTTGGTTCGGAGGTTTTCGCGTTTTTTGTTTTGCACTATCGTAAATATGCTGCGTGTACATTTTTTTTCTGTCTTCTCTACTTAATCTACTATTAGGTACGTTTATATTGTTACCTACATTTCTATAGTCTGCTTAATGCGCTACTAAATTTGTAAAGAGGTTCAAAACCGCACTTTGAAACTCGTGGACACTTGAGAAAATTTTATAAATATAATGAATGATGCAACGCGTATCATTGATAAAATGATCTATGGGTATTAGCGCTTTCACGGAAGGACTACTGATTCGTTCCCAAGAGCCCCCGCTCTACTCCGGCCTCTGCTGGGGACGGAACGGGCCTCAGCCCGAGACAGTTGACAAAGCCCAAGGCAGCCCCTGACCCCCGCCGGCGCATTGCAAGTTCACGCACGGTGCCACAGAGCGCGAGGGCGACGCACGGCTCGAGCTCAGCGGGAAGGCCACGTCAGTGACTAAGGAATGAAACCCTTGCCCCGGCCGGCGGCTCAGGTTGGAGCATCGCCCCGTATACCCAAAGGTTGCGGGTCCGGTCCCAGGTCGAGGTGTGCACGAGAGGCAACTGACCGATGTTTCTGTCTCTCTGTCTCTCTCTCTCTCTCTCTCATCAATACATATATCCTCTGGTGAGGATTTTAAAAAACAGAATGAAATTCTGAATTTGGCTATATTCCAGAAATCTGTGCTCCACCAAATGAAATGAAACCAACCCAACACATCATCACAAGACAAATCGGAAGCAAACAAAACTATAAAAGAACATTGATCAGTCCCCTTCCGCGTGCACAGGGCGGCTGCTCGGGCTGTGGGTGTAAGCGTCTTGACTGGGTGCACCCCTTAGATTGAAGTCTCAGCTGGGGATTTGGAAACGATATCTCAAGGAAGATTACTTGATGGGCCTTTTTCCCCAACAAACCACACTGCAATGGCCTCTTGAAATAGTGTTTAAAAGTTTTTGGTGTTTTTCTTTTCCCCTTGTACCCAATGATAGACAGCACACCCCTCCTGGCCTTAGGAGAAGAGACGGTGTGTCTAGAAATGCAGGAGGACGCAGTAATGAAATAGGCTTGTGCCGTTTTCTGAAAACCGGAAGCAGGGGTGGTGGGCGGCGAGGCGCTTCTAGCCGTCGGCCGAGTGAGGCCGTGAGAAGAGATGAAAACCAGGACAGCCGGCCCGGAGGTCGCAGCGGGGACAGTCCTTTATTTCAAAACCTGGGGCTTTTGCAAGTCATGTAATAATCAACATCTGTCCCATAGGATACGTGACCCATGCAAAAATAAAGAGGAATAAAGATGTTTTCTTTTTTAAACGAGGGAAGGAGTTGAGAGCAAATCACCCTGGAATAATCTTAAGCAAAAGCCCAGGGATAGCTCCATTTTGCCTAACATGCATAAGTAACATGTCACTTATCATTTTTGAATTTAAATTTTTCTTCATCTATAAAGGACTAATTCCTGGCTAAAATTATTTGCGTCTGTGGTTTTTTACTTGGCAAGATATTGCCTAATTCTACTGTGCATAGCTGTCCGCTGATTTTGCAGTTTAGATTTTCATTTCAAGGCGCCTCATTCATCTGTTGACGTGTCCATGAAACATGCCTTGTTAGTCACAGAGCTGACAGCACCCTGAACCAGGCGAGAGGCGAAGGGGACTGAGGGCTTGAGCGCGTTTGCAACAATGGAGCTCCTCGCCTTCTGGACACTGTGCCAAGTGCTTTACCGGGGTTATTTCATTTACTTTTTCTTTTTTAAAACAGATTTTATTTATTTTTAGAGAGGGGAAGGGAGGAGAAAGAGGGAGAGAAACATCCACGTGTTGTTGCATCTTGCGCCCCCTGCTGGGGACCTGGCCTGTAACCCAGGCCTGTGCCCTGACTGGGAATCGAACCGGCGACCCTCTGGTTCGCAGGCCGCCGCTCGATCCACTGAGCCGCACCAGCCGGGCTATCTCATTTACTCTTAACAAGCGGGCACTGTTATTGTGCGTCCTTAGCAGATGAGGAAACTGGGTCTGAGGGAGGCGAAGGGACCGTCTCCTTCCCCCATCTGAAAACAGGACATCAGGGCGCAGATCACCCAGCGAACGGTTCAAGGGCATCGCTTAGCAATTTACGTCCTGGATTATGTGTAGCCAACAGAAGCTATTTAAATGCAAAATAAATTCAAAGGCGGCCACGGGGTGAGGATGGTTTCCGAGGGCTTCACCGTGACAGTAATGAGCCCGCAGCCTCGATTTCATGCCTAGGATGCGGCGCTGGCTGAACTCACTCTGCCAATCGACAGGTGCGGCGCCAAGTAGGCAGGCTCGCATCTCTAAGGACATGCCTGGGTTCCCAGACGACTCCTGGCTGAGCCGCCAGGAGCGGCACATGCCCCGATGCCGAGAGTCACCTGCAACCCTGGCTCACATTGGAAATGACATTTGTCTCCTGAAGAACGGCTCATCCCTTTGTGCACATGTCGGGACCTGGGACAGTTCCGTTACCGGTGAACTTGGCTGCCTGTTCACCAGGGACCAGGGAGTCCCCTGAATCAGGGATTATGTGGGTACCGTCACGGTGTCCACAGCGCATTCGTTCTTGTCACCACGTCACGTCCTGAGCCCTGAAGGAGCCACGATCGACACAAGGTGAATCGTGCGCTATGCGCACGCCAGGGAGTCTCCTCAGGACCAGAGGAGATTCGACCAGAGAGGTTCGAGGCTCCGTGATTTTCTCAAATCCTGGCTCGTTCGGAGCTCCTGTGTGCTGTGCTGTGGATTCTGATGCCGTCCACTTCATTAATCTCCTTAAACTTACGCTGTTTACACTGTACACAAATAGACAGATGGCATCTTCAAAACAAAACTGTCTCCCTTCCTTTGGTTTTAATTCATCAAGACCAGGAGGATCCCACATTTATGACTCCTGTTCTGAAGAGTCACACCAACCATTGTTCCGTGCATGGAACCCTCGAAGGCAATTAGAAAGAACTCAAGATGTGACTTGATGTCTGCGTGTGGATGTTAATTAAACAGCGACAATGGATAGGACCGACTCGCTCCAACTGTCCTGCTTGTGGGTGGTTCATCTTGTGGAAAATGATAAATTTAAAGCTCTAGAAAATTTATGCTTCAATGTATACATACCTACCAAGTACTTTAACCCTCCTAGAATAAATAAAAATATTCTTTTATGTTCTGTAGTGACTTCTAGAATATATAGAGGACAAAATAAACTAAGTGCTTTGAAGAGCGTGACAACCACGAGAGAGCGAGTTAATTATCAACCACGATTAATGATGAGGGCAACACTTAGATGCATAAATTATAACGCTAATGATCCAAGTCACCTTACAGCCTGACTTTCACTGTTAGCAGAAAAGCTCTCTCATTTAGGGCTCTTGCGACCTGGACACATGAGAGCCTGTGCCGCGCAGGACTGGACTTCCACCTGGGTGTCGCCTACCCGCCACCGTTCCGGCCCTTTGGCTGCCATCGGTCACTTCTTTGCCTGTCACTGACAGCGCCCGGATTGTGCCCTGGGGTCTCTCGGGAGGGCCTTGCACGTGGGTTTCAGTCGCCCCCATTCCCAGAAGGGAGCATTTCTCTCTGTGAGCGGATTTCGGGAAGGCGATGGTTTCGACAGTAACTAGGTCCAGGTGTGCCTTTGTCGTGTGTACACTCTTACAGACAACGGAGAACACGGCGTACTTCCAGGACGGGCACGCGTCGAGAGCCGACTACAGCTCGCCTCCCGCGACACAAGGGGGCAAGAGGGAGAACGATTTTTAATGGTCGTTAAAGGCCACCGCAAAGACGGCTGATTAAGGGCCGCGCTGAGCCGGGAGGTGGCATCTCGGGGAACACATTGCAGCACGCTCGCCGTCCGGGGTTTTCAGGAAACGTGAAACCGTGCTGGATGAGCTGTTCATCAATCCTGCATAAAACACACGTCTGAAAGGAACACCCTCAACATGAGATGAGAATCAAAATTCACGATCACTTCAATCTGGACAAATTCTTTCTTTGAAGATAACAGTTAATAAGGACAGAGGCAAAAAGCTACGCTTAAATCAGCCCAACAGGGCCGGGGATGGGAGGGAGGGGAGCCTGCGTTGCCGGCTCCCAGAGAACGGCTTGAGCACGTCCGTGACCAAGGGGCTGTGCAGCCGCCGGGAAAGCTGGCGCGCCTTGCCCTCCCCGAGGCAGGTGAGAACCCACTGTGTCTGCACCTGCGCGGCGGCCACGCCCGGGGAGGGTCCTGGACACAGGCACGGGCTCATGGGCCGGGGAGAGGGGGGGAACCTCACAAACCCATAACAGCTGAAATAACTGAAAGTACTTGGCACGAGGAGGAGAAATAAGAGGAGGCAACTACAGACAGGATGTCTCATCGTTCTTAATGTGAGAAACTGAGACGTGGACACCGTGTGCTTG